GGCGACAGTGATGGTGGGGGCTGTGCGGGGGACACCCGTGCCCCCAGCGCGGCGGTGGCGGAGCCCTCGCGGCTGGGCGCGCCCTACCGGCAGTTCGAGCGCGTGGAAGGCTCGGTGCCTCCGCTGCTGGGTCGGCTCACCCACGCGGGGCGCTGGTCGCTGATCGTGGCAGGCTGCTGGCGGCGGCGCGAGGCGATCCACTTGCTGGAGGCGCGAGCGGCGCTGCTGGGGCTGCGGCGTGCGTCTGGCTCCGCTGGCGGGCAGGACGCGGTGGTGGTCTCGTTCGGCGACGACGTGAGCGAGCTCCTCGCGCAGGGGCGCGGGCGGGCCTGCAACTACGCCCTCAACAGCTGCTGTCGGGAGGCCGCCGCGTGGCAGGTGGCGGCCGGAGTGGACTGGCGTCAGAGGTCTGTCGACACCGACAGGAACCCCTCCGACAGGGACTCCAGGCTCGGCGACCGCGGGAAGCTGTCGCCCGGGGACACGGTCACACCGCACGGGCCAGGTCGCCAGCGGGCCCGACGACGAGCTGATGCTGTATCGGGCTTCTGCAGCGCGACCTGGTCTCGGCGGCCTGGGCTACAGTGGCGCCGTCGGCGCCCGAGCGGGGCCTCGCCGCTGAGGAGCGTCGCTGTGGTGGCAGGCCCGAGGCGGCGCAGCCCTCGGCTAGACGTCAGGCTGTTCGATTTGTTTAAGAGTTTTTCGCAGGCTGCGCCCACCTGCCCGGGGCCGTCCTCCAGGCGGGGCTCGACGTGGCCGTGCCCTTCGAGTTGGAAAACGGCTCGCAGTTCGACATCCTCCGCCCTGTCACCCTGGGGCTCATCATCGAGGGGGTCCGTCAGGGCCGCGTCTGGTGGGTACATCTTGGGGCTCCATGCGCGTGGGCCTCGCATGCTCGCTCTACTGGGTCTCCCGAGGCACCAGCGGCCCGTCCTGGGCTGAGTTGCGCTCTGGCTTCGGTTCGCATCCCCCGGGCCGTCCTCGCCGTCTCGAGCAAGTACAATATATACGTCACCATCGAATGCCCGATCACGTCGCGGCTCTGGGTGTGGAGGCCCATGCGAACCATTCTCGGCAAGTTGGGGTGCTCGTGCATCGACTTCGATATGTGCCGCTTTGGGGCACCTTATCGAAAGCCAACTCGGAGTGCGTCGACACTTCCAGGCCTAGATCTCGCCGCTGGGGTTCGATGTAATTGCGCGGCACCGCGCGTCATTCTGGAGGGCAAGGTCACAGTGCCCACATCCGCTGGTCGATCCCGCTGCGTTTGGGTCACCAAGCTCGCTGGGCAGTGCCCGCCCCGACTCTGCCGCGCTATCGCGCGGCGCGCGCCCCGGGCCGCGCCGTCGGGGGCTCGCTATGATGAGCTTCGCCGCGGCCGCGGGCCCGCCTGGCGCTGGACTCACCTGGAGGCCGCCGCCCGTGCTGGGACAGCGCCAGGGGTCCTACGTCCGCCTCGATGCCCGACTGCCCTTGTCGTCGGCTGGGAGCGCGCCTCCAGAGCTTGGGGTGTCCGCGTCCCTGCCGAGCGGCAGCGCGTTGGACCTGGTTGCTGGTGCCGCGCGCCCCCGCCCTGCCCCGAAGGCCGCCGTGGCCAAGAGGAGGGCGGCTCACGGCGACGTGACCGCGGTGGCCCCCGTGGGCGCGACGGAGACGCAGCCCGCTTCGCAGCCGCCGGCGGTGATGAAGCGGCCGGTTTCTGGCGGCGCGGCCTCGGCGGGGCCTGCGGCCAAGAAGTCTCGCCCCGCCGCCGCGACGCCGGCGGGCCAGTCCCGCGAGGAGCGGGCCAGCCGCCGCGCGGCCGAGGACGTGTCCCCCAGCGACCTGAGCCTGACGATGCCCGAGCTGCGGTCGGTCGGCAAGGAGACCAAGGACCGCTACTCCGCGGCCTTCGAGGAGTTCCAGGCCTGGGCGGGCCAACGCGGGCAGTCGGTGATGAAGCTGGCCAAGGACGCGGACAACCTGGGCGCGGTGCTGGCGGCGTTCCTCGAGAAGCTGTACTTGCGCGGGGAGGCGACCAGCATTGCCAGGGACGTGCTCTTCGGGGCGATCTTCGAGCTCGGGTTGGGCAAGGGGCCGAATGTGCCCCCTCGCTGCCGCCGGTCTCTCCAGGGATTCCGCCGGGGCGACCTTCCTGCGTCCGAGGACCCGTGCCCGCGCGAGGCAGCGGCGCTGGTGGTGGCAGCCCTTCTGAAGGACGGGCCCCTGCTCTCGGTGCTCAGCCGCCTGGCGTTCGGCGTGCAGTGCGACCTCTTCACCAGGCCCTCGGAGACGCTGAACATCCTGCGCGAGGACGTCGTGGCGCCGCGGACTGGGGCCTACATGGGCGCGGCCGTGATCGCGGCCCCGGGCCCCGTGCGCGCGGCTGCCGCGGAGGCTGCCGCGCGCGCCGGCCCGCGCGCGCCCGCGCCGTCGACGCCGACGGCAGTGCGCAGACGCCGGGCGGCGCGGCTAGCCAAGAGCGGCGAGTTCGACGACGCCGTTCTCGCCGGGCTCAAGGGCCTGGGCTTCGAGTTTGTCCCCGAGGTACTTCTGGGCCTGCAGAGGTGCGCGCTCCCGGGCCAGCCGCTGTTCTCGCCGCTGACTCTGGGCGAGTACGAGCGCCACATCCTGAAGGGCGCAGAGCTGGCCGGCCTCGACCCGCTCCGAGTGACCCCTCACTCGGCGCGGCACGGCGGGGCCAGCTCTTCCATGCGCCCGCAGCTGCTCGACCTCAAGATGATCCAGAAGAGAGGCCGCTGGCTGGCGCCACGCAGTGTGAAGAGGTCCGAGAAGAGTGGCAAGCTCCTGCGCCAGGCCGCGGCCATCCGTCACAAGATCCCGATGGGCGCCGCACTCCTCGACCCAGCAAGTCGAGACTCGTTGAAGAAGCAGATGCTGACCGCCGCCAATTCCATCCGTCGGTTGAGGGCGCAGGCTAACATTTGAGATCCCTATCCCGCCCACCGAGACGACAATAAAGATTGGTGGGTTGGGAGAGTGCTCGAGCGTGGCTCGTATTCCTCGGCATGCAGCTCAGAGAATCTCTGGTGACGCCTCGTCAATGGTTTCTTCCTGGATTGCTCGATTCAGCTCGTGCGAGACTGCTGTGAGAAAGTGACTCACCCTGTAGGCTTGCGCCTGCTCCGCCGCTCCGCGTGTGAATACTAGCTCGGCGTGTGCTGGCACCGTAATGGCCCCGCTAGCTTACAGAAAGATGTGCTGTCGACGACTGTCTTTCCCTTTCGGGAGGGGTTGGGTCTGTAGCCGCCCCGCCCGCCCGACCTTTGTGGCGGCTCCGTTTTGCGTTTCAAGTTGGGAGAGTGCTCGAGCGTGGCTCGTATTCCTCGGCATGCAGCTCAGAGAATCTCTGGTGACGCCTCGTCAATGGTTTCTTCCTGGATTGCTCGATTCAGCTCGTGCGAGACTGCTGTGAGAAAGTGACTCACCCTGTAGGCTTGCGCCTGCTCCGCCGCTCCGCGTGTGAATACTAGCTCGGCGTGTGCTGGCACCGTAATGGCCCCGCTAGCTTACAGAAGTATATATATATATAGATTATCATACGCACCTCTCCGAGGGAGTAGACCTCAGAGCCGACTAATTGAAGGCGGCGTCCGCGATTTTTCTGGCCGTTTCGCTAGGGACATCCTTGAAAATCTGAAAATCGGTGGCATTTCGTATGCAGATCGTGACGTCAGGGTCCAACAACACATAGGAATTTCAACATTCTAACATAAAACCTTCAAACACACATGGTAATTTCAATGATTTTGACTCCGATGTTCAGAGAATGGCGATTTCGCCTGAGACATCCTCCCAAAATCGAGCCCCGACGTACCTTCAGGTGCCCCAGACCCTGCCTTTGAGCCTCTTGGGTGCCTCCTGGAACCTCCCGGGGCCTCCTGGGGCTTTCTGCACCTTCTGGTACCCCAGACCCTGCCTCGGAGCCTCCTGGGGGTCTCCTGGAACCTCCTAGGACCTCCTGCGGCCTCCTGGAGCCTCTTGGGGCCTCCTGGAGCCTCCTGGGGTTTTCTGGGGCCTCCTGAGGCCGCCTGGGGCCTCCTGGGGCCTCCTGGGGCTTCAGAACTACATGCCCACACAGAGACACACATCACACCCAACACATCACACGCTAGACAAACATAACACACACAACACCTACAACGCACAGGAAACACGCACAACACAGAGCACACATCACACACACAACACTCACAATCCCGGGGCCTCCTGGAGCCTCTTCCGGTATCCAAGTCGGGCCTGCTGAGGTTTCCTGGGGGGCCCTGGTACACACATCGCAAAGTGTGGCAACCCCACTTGCGCTCGAGTGCGACCTCGATCTTAGATTCTTCTGCGTTCACCTCCTGCCTCTTCCCCTTCTCTTAGGCACGCCCTGGCGGCGCCGCCCCAGCTTCCCCTTCTCCATCTCCGATCCTACAGTCATGGTGTCTTCCTGCTTCAAACGCCCTCTCAGTTTTTTGTATGAGCCTGGGCACACACGTGCCACTGGTGTATATATATATATATGTATATGTATATATATATAATATAATATATATAATATATATATATATATATCGGGCCTGTCCCTCTACAGGGGGAATATTCAAACACAGTCAAACAATAGTAGGTGGACGAATTTTGACTATTTGTGACTGTTTTAGAATATTTTGGACTATCTGTCATTTTTCGTCCAAAATTCCCCTGTGGGAGGACACGCCCGACCTAACTCTCTTTCTTTCTCTCTCTCTCTCTCTCTCTATATATATATATATATGTTTTAAAAAGATTGACATGCGGCTCCTTGTGCCGCCACCCCAGGTGGCCAGAAACTCGAGGAAAGAGGAGCAAGCGCCGAAATGGACAGCGAGGGCAGGCCCCCCTTGGAGCCGTCGGGGGCAGAGGCTCGGACGTGTGCCGGGCCAGCGTTCCGAAAAGCGGGCAGCCTTGGGGACCGTGGGTCGGGGAGGTCGGCACGGCTGTTGTCGCGCGGCCGGCCGGAGAGCCTTTTGGGGGCCGAGGGGTGCGGCTGTACGTCAACGCGAAGGCCCACTGGATGCAGGTCGCGCACATCGGCCAGCGCGGTCACATCACACCAGCACAGGCTGGGGACACGGCGAGGTTCCCGCTCGGGAGCAAGCTGAGCGACGCCGAGATCAATCGGTACAGGCTCCGCGGCGGCTGGAAGCGCCCCGCGGCCCCCGCGGGCGCCCCCTCGGAGCGGCAAGGCAGGCATCTCCCTGCTTCTGCCGCGGGGATGGCGCGGAGACGCCGGGTTCCCTGTCTGTGTCCCTGGAGTCCTGCCGGGCAGCGCCCAGGGGAGTTGACGCCCGGGGGGTCGCCACCTCCTCCTGGTGGATCGATCCCCCCCCCGAGCAGGATCGAGCAGTTTTTTTCGAGGTGCGGAGGAGGATCGGCCCTGCCTCCTCCGCACTTCGAGCAGAAGCTATCCGATCGTTGGAAATCGGTGATCGAGGAGGAGGAGGAGGAGGAGGAGGCAGGGTCGAGGATTGGGCAGTTTGTCTCATGCTTCTAGGGCGCCGCCTCTGGGAGTCCTGGGGGGCTCTGGAGGGTCCAGAGGGCCCGCTTCCTGGAGTAGGTGCCAGCCCCATCAGTGATGACCCGCCTTTTTTGGCACTACTTGGTTCGAGTTTCTTGCCTCTTGCTTCGACGACGACGACGACAACGACAACGGGCGACGACGACGACAACGACAACGAGCGACGACGACGCCGACGGCGGCGACGGCGGCGACGACGACGACGACGACGATGGTGGTCCCTCCTCCTCCCTGTCCTCCTTCCTCCGCCCTCCTCCTCCTCCTCCCCTGTGGGGTGGAAATTCCGTAGGCTGCCTGGCTGCACTGGCGCCCCCACCGGGGCGGATCGGGCCCGAGTTAGGGCCAGGTCGTGGCGCGCGTGGCCTCTTCCCTGGGGGCTGCCTGGGGGCCCCTTGGGGGCCTTCCGGCAGTAAATATCCCTAGGAGGCCGCGTGGAGGGGGTAAGGGGAAAAATGGTCGCTCGAGAAGCAAAGGTCCCAGCAAAGGCAAGGGTCCGCGTACCTGAGGCCAGCCGAGCCTTCGGGGTGCTGCGTGCATCGGGCTTGTGCTGGCGGGGTCCGTGCGGCATCTGGCCGAGAGTGGATCGTATCTTTTCGCAGTATACGTCGGCTTCGTAGGTTAAGCCTCCTCAGGGAACAACCCCGTGGGCCGCTAAGAGTGCTTCGCATTTCGCTTTGATTCTGCGTCGCCAGTGCTCTCCTTCGGATCTAGTCCTCATGAGCTAAAAAAGAAAAAGGGCTAAGAAGCGGCCAGATTTTGCCCAAAGTGGGCTCGAGGTGGCTTGGTGCTTGCGTTCTGCATTTGCCTCTCGCAAGCATGCGGTCGGGAATTTCTGCTTGGCGTTCATCCGTTTGTAATGCACAGCGTGTCGCCAGGGCCGCCGCCGCCGCTGCACGCAAAGGAACATGTCCCGACCGTGTACAAGCACAAGACATTTCACAATGATGTTTGCATACCTTGGGCTGCTGCCCATGGCCTCGCGACCTGCCACGGCACCGCTGCACAAGTCTTACACGGTGTACAGCTGATGATTCAGCGTGTCCGCAAGGGCGCACAGCACTCGTCCTTCCTGCGAGAACCTGGGCACCGCTCTGGCAAGGAGTCCCCAGGGGCCACGTTTGGGGGGGGGGATAGGCTCAGAGGGGAGACGCATCGACCCCTGATCGCCCAGTCATCGCCGATAGGGGCCTGATAGTCCAACCCGCCCAGGAAGGTGAGGATTCGCGATCGTGGGGCCATCGCCGATCTTTCGGCGATGCATGGCCGATTCCGGGCCGATGCTTCTCCCCACTGAGCAAAGTTCCCCCCCGTCCTGCCGCTGCCTCGCCATCCCACGGCAGGGGCTTTCCCAGCTGCTCCCAGGTTCAGCGTGGTGAAGTTTGTGCCAGTGGGCAGCTCCGACCCCACCCTCTACTTCGACTTCGCGGCCATGCCGTTCGACTCCACGGCCGCCCGCAGGGTCACGCCCTACGCCCAGAGCGAGGCCGACGCCTTGGACGGCAAGTGGCAGGAGGACATGTGCGGCTCCCTGGCCGTTCTCAACTTCGGCCGCGCGTCTTGCAGCTCCGGTCCGCTCCCGAACCATGCGCGCGCATGTCAGACACGGCACTCAGCAGTGTGGATCCTGAGTGGATTCCTTCATGTTTTTTTCCATCCGGGGCGTGGATTTGCACATGGATTCATCGGCGCGAGTGGATTCCTGCGTGGATGATGGTTTTCTTACCCACTGCGAAGCCATGTAACATCACATAGACTCGGTGCGTTGGAAAGGGGGAGAAACCCATGCGGAACCCGGCCGACATTCATGCGAGAATCCATGCGAGTATCCATGCGAGTATGCTACGCATGGACAGCGGCGGTCAGCAACGAGAGACCCGCAAAACAAAAGCATGCGTCGCGACTGCAAGATTCGCAGGCCTCGAGGTTGACGCCAACACCACTAGCGGCAGTGTGCCTCCACCGAGGGAAGAAGATCCCGATCTCGGCGATGGTGGCAATATCCTGGCTCCCAAGGTGACCGAAATATTGCCACCAACGCCGAAATCTGGGATCGTCTCCCCCCCTGTGGAGGCACCCCCCCGTGCTGGTGTCGTTGCCCAGTTCTTTCCAAGCCTCCGAACAAAAATATGTCTTGCCCGATGGCGCACGGGCGTGCGTCCGCCCGCCCCCCTCTCTGTCCAGGCGAGCGCGGGGAGGAGAGGTGCGCAGAGGGCGAAGAGGGCAGGGCAGCAGACACGCGCGCGTAAGCTGAAGTCGGGCCTGTCCCATTACAGGAGGGAATATTCGAACATAGTCAAAACATAGTCTGGGGACGACTTTTTGATGATTTGTTGATTATTTGTGGGGCATGTCTTGGCTATTTTTTAATGTTTCCCTCCCGAACCCGCCTGTATGGGGGACACGCCCGACTTAAGCGCAAGTTTGTGGCACCGGGGTCAGGGACGCGGTCTGCATATGGCGTGCCTGCCAGCGATGGTGGAGGTGCTGACAGGGGCCCAGTCGGCAGCACCGGCAAGCCTGGGAGCTTCAGGCTGTACATCAACGCGCAGGGGCTGCTTCGCCAAGGTACGTCCAAGGCCATGGAAGTCGCATGCCCTCCCGTGAGCGTGGTGGCTGGGCGGTGTGGCAAGCTGTTCGGCAGGTGCAACGCGGACCTCAGCGCAGGCGCTACGGCGTGCGACGAGCCCACGGGCTGGTGCAGAGAGAAGCACTCGGACACCAGACGAGGAAAAGCCTACGGCTGGCCGTCATAGTGCCGACCTCGGCGTTGGCTTCTGATACCGCTCGGGTCTTTCAGCCTGTAGCGATCGGCGGCCTTTCGACTTGGCATCGCTCGGACGTGTGTATTTTTTCTTCGGCGAGGACCATCGAGGAGCATCCTTGATCATTTTGACGAAGAAACCACGCACGAAACCGAAAACACACCCAGGGAATGCACGTGCGAGCGATGGCCGGCCGATCGTCAGATCGTCCCATGCTGGCTCCTCCTGAGCCACTGGCGGCGGTCACTCTTGAATAGGGGAACAAAAAGTGGCATAAACACAAAAACTCGGAGGTCCGCGCGCGGATTTCTCGGATCGGCGCTGGACCCCCCTCTCCCTGGCGCGCGGAGCGCGCCAGGGGCGGCGCCGGAGGCGCCGCCCGGGGGGCGCCAGCGCCGATCCGAGCAATCCGCGCGGACCTCCGAGTTTTTATGTTTCTGTCATGTTTTGTTCCCCTACCCTCGGGACCGTTGCCCCATCCTTGCTGTGCGGGTTGACCGTAGCGACGCCGCTGCTCCCCGGACGTCTCCCGGCGGGGTGCTCTGACCGCCGCTTCGAGGGCGGAGCCTGCCGTGGCGGCGCGGGCCCGCCGGGAGCGCCGGTGCAAGCGAGGAGGAGGGCAGGGCTCCGGCGCGGCCCTTGAAGGCCCACGCCGGGGTCGTCGCCGCGCCGGCACGGCACGAGCCCGCCGCGCCAGCGCCGGAGCCCTATGCCCTCCTCCTCGCTTGCACCGGCGCTCCCGGCGGGCCCGCGCCGCCACGGCAGGCTCCGCCCTCGAAGCGGCGGTCCGAGCGCCCCGCCGGGGAGCAGCGGTGTCGTCGCTACGGTCAACCCGCACAGCAAGGATGGGGCAACGGTCCCGAGGGTAGGGGAACAAAAAGTGACACAAACACAAAAACTCGGAGGTCCGCGCGGATTTCTCGGATCGGCGCTGGGCCCCCCCGGCGGCGCCTCCGGCGCCGCCCCTGGCGCGCTCCGCGCGCCAGGGAGGGGGGGTCCAGCGCCGATCCGAGAAATCCGCGCGGACCTTCGAGTTTTTATGTTTATGTTACTTTTTGTTACCCTAAGGATGGGGCAACCGTTCCGAGGGTACCCTTGCATCCTTGCCTCCTCGGTCCGTCCTTCGCCGCTGTCGCTGGCCGCGCCCCGCTCGAGAAGCCTCGAAGCAGGCGTCCAGGGCCCCTGTATCCCCATCGCGCATCCTTGCTACAGTCGGGGCGCTGAAGAGGGAACTTTCTTCGTTGGGGAGGGGCGCTGTGCTCCTCGATTGCTTCACAGTTTGCCTTGGGTCTTTCCTGAGGTTTCCCATGAGGAATCGAAGTTTAACTGATGAGAAACAGGGACCTCGTTCCTTATTTAGGGTTCCTTAGGTCAACTCCCCGACTGTATACGGGTTGACTGTATCCCATCGCCCCCCCATCGAGGACACGCAGCAGGACACGGGGGCGTTCAACTGGGAGCCGTCGCAGGGGTGCCGTCAGGCTGGGGCCGCGGCGCCCCCGGCGGGAGGTCAGGGCGCGCGCATGGAGGTCTACCTGTTCCAGGAGGACCCCAGCGTTAAGTCGGGCCTGTCCCTCTACAGGGGGAACATCCAAAAATAGTAAAAAAATAGTCGAGGGATTATTTTTCGAGTATGTTTTGACATTTTCGCCGTATTTTTTTGTAGTATTATTTATTTTTCGTCGAAAATCCCCCTGTAGGGGGACACGCCCGACTTAACCCCAGCGTCCAGTGCACCAAGCCGGCCCGGTGCAGCTGCTCAGAGAGGGGCCAGGTGTCGAGCGGGGGCGAAGCGTCTTGCCGCTGCATCGCCGCTGCACCGCCGCTGTATCGTCGATGGCATCGGTGATGCATCGGCGAGGCGGCGCGGTCCTCCGACCCCATCTGCTCGGACCCCAGCTGGGAGGCCTCTCTACTCTTGCTCATGACTCGAGGGGGCCTGGGCCGCCCCCCCCCCCTCTGCGGGGAGAGCTTCCAGCCGCCGTGCTGCCACCCGCCCCGCTCCCGCGAGGTCAGGCAGTGGCGAGGCGCCCCGGCTTGCCTATAGGCCCACCAGCGGATCTTCTTAGAACTTTTTGTTTGGTCTGCACGAGATTTCTGTCCGGGACTGTCTGGTTTTGACACATCGGGCTGATGTTATCAGAGCATTGTGTTCTGTTATTTGAACATCTTGGGGTGCTAAGAGCATCTCGTGGTAGGCCTAGAGGAATGCCGACACGGTCGGTCCCTGCTCAAAGGTGTTGTCCGTAGCCACAGGCATCGAGAGGTGTAAGGAGCGCTGCCTGGCTAACAGCGCCTGCATCCTCGTTTGGTGCGATGCCCGCTCGACGCCATGCACTTGCCACGAGTACACGACCGCGTCCTGTGCACAGACGCGGCTGACCAGATTTGCGGGTGTACACTGGCGAAAGACCATGGCTCCTCCCGCGCAGCAGGTGCAGCTGCCTGAGAGGGGCCTGTGTGAGGACGTGTCGTTCTTGCGAATACAGAAGACTGGCAGTACGTCGTTTGGGGATGCGATCATCAACAAGATGTGTAAGGACAGCGGCATGTTTCACCGCGCGTTCTGGCACATGGATTACAATATTGCCACCCAGTCCTCGGCAGGGTGCGTCGTGACGTTCCTACGGGACCCTGTGGACAGGTTCATATCCGAGTTCGCGATGATGCGAGGACCCAGGAAGAGAACGTTGCGTAAACATAATTTTTCGGAGGTCGTCGCGGATCTCTTGGATCGGCGTTTGACCCCCTCCCTGGCTCGCGGAGTGCGGAAGGGGCGGCGCCGGAGGCGCCGCCAGGGGGGTCCAGCGCCGATCCAATAAGTCCGCGCGGACCTCTGACATGTTGTGTTTGTGCCGTTTGATGTTCCTCCAGAGGCCCTGAGCAAAACTACACCTACGGGCAGGACCAGTGGGACTACCACGTGTTGGACCAGCCGCGCATGAGGGAGCTCATGACCAAGCAGCCCGTCGAAGACGCGCTCAGAGAGTTCGTCGACTGGCCGGGCAATGCTGGGCGGAATCGGCAGGCCCTGTACCTCCTGGGGTTCAAGAGGGTGGCCTGCAACCGCGGGTGCTGTGGCCTGTGCACTCTGGAGTACAGGCGCCCAGGGTCGGACCCCGGGTGGTTCCCGATTCAGGTGCCAGAGCGAGCCGTGAGCAACACACCGAAGCAAGGCGCTGGAGGTTACCCGGCCAGGCAGTACAGCTGGGAGGCGGACCACGACAGCCTGCTGGCCACGACTCAGGCGAACCTGCTGAGCCTGCGCGCCTTCGGGATGACGCACTGCTACGAGGAGTCTTTGGAGGTTATAGCGCGCGAGGTGGGCTGGGACCCCGAGAAGGCGCTTCGGCTGGCCAAGGTCAAGAGAGCGGGCGGGAAACGCAGAAACGCAGCGATACGCCTCCGCTGTTCTTCCCCACAGGGGGCGTGGCAGGGGTACTCCCTCCAGGCCCCCGACGTCATGATTCTTCCATGACGTCGACCCGCAGAGGTCTCGACCCACTCCCGGGACCGGATCTTAATCCTGAATCGTTTTTTGAAGCCCCGAGGCTCCGCAAAGGGCAACCAGAGGCTGACAGTCGCGAAAAACGTTGCGCCATATGTTTGTCGTTGCTCGGGGGGCTCTGAGGAGGAGGCCTGGGGGCGAACGTCACAGGCGATGCCTCGCAACCCACCCCCCGCCTCATCCACGCAATGTTCCATGCGCGCCGTGTTCTTTCTTTGCCTCATAGATGGGATCGGAGTAGATGTGGTCGGACGATCGCTCCGCATGGCCGATGCATCGGCGATGCGGCTCGATGTGGAGCCCGATTTTCTCCATGCCGACGTCGCTGACGCATCGCCGACGTCGCCGATGCACCTTCGATGCATCGTCGATGACATCGGTGATGCATTGGCGATGCGGCGCGGTCCTCCGACCCCATCTACTCGGACCCCATCCAGGATTAAGTCGGGCCTGTCCCCCTACAGGGGGAATGTTCAAGACTTGTCAAAAAAAGGCCGGGAACGAGTTTCGGGAGCACTTTTGAGCCTTTAGGAGTAATTTGGGCGGGTATTGTGGAGTGTTCGCTCGAAATCCGCTTGTAATTACCAGTTTGAAACATATCCAAATCCCGATGTCTGACATCACCTCACCTCGATGCCGATCTTAAGGATTCCCTCAGTTTCTGAGGGCCTATCCCTGAGATTGTCCTCGCTTTCTGCTCGCCCATCTTAGGGATAGGGATACGTTCGAGGCTTGTTATATAGGGGGCCATGCCCGACCTCAATCTGTCAGGAGCGACAAAAGGACGTACACGTACATGAATCCACGCTGCTTTCGAGACTACGCATTGCGCAAATGTTCGTATAACGCGGCCGGCCTCGCGTCTCGAGGGACCGTGTTCATGTACACAGCTGGGCGCGTACGTCCTTGTTGGCCTCCCTAATCTGGGAGGCCTCTGCTCTCGCGCGCGACCCGAGGGGGCCCGGGCCCCCGCCCTCCGCGGGACGAGAGTTGCCGGGCGCCCGGCCTCCGCCCGCCCTCGCGCCCGCGGGGGCGGGGCAGCGAGGCCCGGCCTCCGCCTCCGCCTCCTCCTCTCCTCCTCCTCCTCCTCTCCTCCTCCCTCCTCCCTCCTCCCTCCTCCCTCCTCCTCCTCCCTCCTCCCTCCTCCCTCCTCTCCCTCCTCCCGCCTCCTCCTCCTCCTCCTCCGCCTCCTCCTCCTCCTCCTCCGCCTCCTCCGCCTCCTCCGCCTCCTCCGCTCCTCCTCCTCCCTCCTCCTCCTCCTCCTCCTCCTCCTCCCTCCTCCTCCTCCTCCTCCTCCTCCTCCTCCTCCTCCTCCTCCTCCTCCTCCCCCTCCGGCTCGCCCTCAAGCAGCGGCGCAGCGTCCTGGCTCGCCCAGAGGCCCACCAAGCGATGTTCTGAGAGCCGTTCGTGGCTTCCACGACATGTTCTCCCCCGAGATCCTGGCGTGGCAAGTTTTTTCACAACCGGCGTGTTCGCTCCATTGCGGGCCCTGGGGCCCTCGCAAATCGATCCGGCTCGACAAATGACGCAGAAAGATGGGGTCCGGGGCTCCAGGCGTGATTTGTTGCGATGTTGGATTTTTTGGCAGCGTCGGATCTCAGGGTCAGGACATTTCTGGCTGGGGCCGTCTTGTTTTAGCGCGTCGGGTTTCTGTTCTAAGAGCATGGCGTTTGCTCTCAGAACAATGTCTGGGCTCTCAGAACATGTCGTAGTAGGCCCACAGGGATGCCGGGACGGTCGGTCCCTGCTCAAGGCAGCGAGGCCAGGCCTCCGGCGGTCGTCGTGACTCTCCGTGTTGGGGCGCGGCTCCCTGGAGGATTGGGCCTTCTTCCCGGGGACCGGAGCTTCACCCCGATCAGTTCTGTTCGTCGACTACACGTAAGAGGGACCTTTCGCCGGAGTGACCTTTGGTGCGGGCCCAAGGGGGCTCCCCGATCGCCGAACGCGATGCGGTATTAGCGTCTTGCGCGCTCGTGTTTGGCCCCCCCGCGGCCCCGAATGCACCGCGCACCAAAGGTCACTCGTCGAGTTCGGTAGAGCACGGGCGGGGATAGGGCGAGGATAAGCTCACTCCAGAGCGCTCCGGAAGGCTCCGAGAAGGCCGCGGCGCCCGCGACATGCTCCAGAGCCGCCGGCTCTCAGAGATTTGTGATTTCTCGCCACCCGAATGTAATCCTCATCCTGGTTTCGTCTCGGAAGCTCCGGGCTGCGCACAGGCAGCCCCAGCGGGCAGTGCCGGCTGGCCTGAGCAGGCCCCCCACCGAGGAGTCCCCGCTGGTCTCAAGAGGCTCCGCGAGTAGCCCGGGGAAGTCTCAAACACCTTGGCGCCGCCTCTGTCGGTGCCCCTTGGGCGCTCCGCGGTTCATCAAGCAGGGGCGAAGCGTCCTGGCGTACCTATAGGCCCACCAAAGAATGTTCTAAGGACCTTTTGAGGTTTCCACGAAATGTTTTTAGAGCATTTCTGGCTGGGGCTGTCTTGTTTTAACACATCGGGAATATGTTCTAAGAACATCGTTTTGGTCCTTGTGAAAAGATTTGGTTCTAAGAGCATTTCGTGGTAGGCCTATAGGAATGCCGGGACGGTCGGTCCCTGCTCAAGTTGAGGTGCCAGATCGTCACCGCCCACCAAACCACCCCAACCCATCCCGGAGGCCCCGATTTGCCCTCCATGTCCAGTGGGGGGAGGTCGGGGAACATGGACAAAAGCTCATACGAAGCCCATACCCCCTCCCAACCCGAAATTCGGGTCTTCGGGTTGGGTTGGGGTGGCCTGGTAGGTAGTCAGATCGCACTCGACTACTCATTGGGGGGGGGCCTGTCTGGGCAAGCTTGCCTGCCCTCTCCCACTCGTGCATGCTGGTCAATTCGCTTTTCGCTGCCCCCGTCTAGCTCCTGCCGCTGGCGCAGCCAGCTCTGCCTCGCCGCCGACGAACAAAAAGCTTAGGCCAGCTTGGGGGCCACTCGGAGGGGCCTCTGCCGAGGCCAATGCGGGACTACCGCTGAGGGGCTGTCTGCACGCAAAGCGCGTGGCCTTCTCAGTCCCGGTGGCCCGCTGACGGCCCCTGCGGTGTCCGGAAATGGCCGAGCTGTTCCTTTCGTGGGTTTTTTTTGTTCCTCCTCCTCCTCCTCCTCCTCCTCCTCCTCCTCCTCCTACCTCTCCTCCTCCTCCTCCTTGTTTGCCTGCGATGTCAGAGGTCTGGCTTTCGGGCCATAGCTCGGGGCCCCGGCGACCGCTCGGGCCGCGCCAGGCGCACCCCCGGGGAGCGCTCTCGGCGGGGCCTGCGGGAGAGCCGGGGAGAGCAGCGCAGGGCCAGAGCACCGGAGGGAGCTGACGACAGCGCCCGCACGGGAGCCTCGGGAGGGGGCGGCGGAGACGGAGGCCGAGCACTGCAAGAACTCTCCCGCTCTTGATCTTCCACGGACAGGCTTCCCTTCCCTGCGTCGCACGGCCTGTGGGTGCATCGGCCTCAGGTGCCCGACGCCGCCGGCGTGCTCCTCCAGACGGCGTCTCCCCGCGCCCCGCTCCCTTTCTCTGCGGCCGCCCTCCTCTTCTCCGTGAGTGCTCGTGTGCCCGTAGTGCGGGGCGCTGGCTGTTCGAACGCGCGACCGCTAGTGCTGCTGACCAACACGAAGCATATGTTTTACCACTCGGCGGGCAGCCTGGCGGGGGAATTGAGAGGGAGCAGGCGTTCTCAAAAGGCGGCGGGGGTTTCAAGCGTTTTGGGAAGCCGCCTGTGTCTTGGGAGACGGCTTAGGAAACCTCTCGGAAGGCCGGAGGCCTTCTGAGCCGTCTGAGAAGGCCCCCCTTCTTACTTCCCCCCTGGGTTCGCCGCCGAACCGCGACACCCAGACCCCCGACGTCATGTTTTTTTTGTTCATGGGGTCGACCCCCCCCGAGATCTGGATTCATTCCGGGGACCCGTCTTTAGTCCTGAGTCGTTGCTGTTGACCGGCCCCGAGGCTCGGCAAGGGCCCCTAGAGGCCGACAATAAGCGAACCTGGGGGCGAACGTCGCAGGCGATGCTTCGCATCCAACCCCCGCCGTATTCCACGAAACATCAGGCCTCTCAGGAACTGAGGGAAACTCGTGGATACACCCCCTGGTAGCTCTTCAGACGCACCCCATATCGAGGATGGACGCCCCCCGTCGCATGTTCCCGAGTTGGGCACCAAGCTCGTTGTGACCCATTCAATCGGGGGTGGACAGGACCCCCACCCTGACACGTCGATTAGAGAATTGTCCGTTTTCGGTTCTCGACAGGGCGCCGCGACCGTCATGTTCCAGGCTTGCGCCCGCCAGGTTTGGGCCCGAGGCCGTTTTCACTGAACCACGTTTTGCTAAAGGAGCTTCTTTCCATCCCCGGTTCAACAAATCCACAAAAAGTCGGGGATAGGGTTAAGTCGGGCTTCTCTCTCGACAGGAAGAATGTTCAAAAATAGTCAAAAATAGCCAGGGTACGATTTTTCGACTATGTTTCAATCTTTTTGAGATATGTTTGGAGTATTTCCAACTGTTCGCCCCAAATCCCCCTTGACGAAGCATCGAGTGAGTTTGCAGCTCTTCTGGCACCGTAGAGCTGATAGCCCACGGCGGAAGTCCAGTTTCTTGCGCTTCATTAGGGAAAGTGGGAGGCGAGAGGGGGGGAACACACTACCTTTAAGTCGGACCTGAATATGGACAAATAGTCCAAAACATAGTCTGGGGACGATTTTCTGACTGTGTTTGAGCATGCTTGGAGCATTTTTTGATTCTTGTCATGTTTTCGCCCAAGATCCCCCTGTAGGGGGACAGGCCCGACCCAAGGGATAGGGGTCGACGTTTCCGTGGTCAGAGAGCACCGCGACCGCGTTGAAGCCAGCGGCTGCCTGCCGTCCCTCTGCCGCGCCTCCCCGCAAGGGCTCCCGCGCGTTCCGCGCCTCGACGTCGAGGGAGGCCAAGGCCATCAAG